TTGACTTGACTTGGTTGCTTGTCCTAGCTTGACTGGTTGGCGAAGTCGCTTTTCGCTACAAATATTCCTAATGTATCCAAGCACGCGACACAGGCGTACATTAAAATTTGTCTTACACCGATTTGTCCGGGGATCGAAAACACATTGTAAATTGTAAATGTTTGTTTTTGGTGTCTGAGCAAGTAGGCGTAAGCCAACTGAGGCGCTCTAAATTTACAGTATAGCCAGAGCTAGCAACTTGCCAGCGAAATTTCGTCTTTAACTTCGACGTAATTAGTACATGTGACATTGGTATGATAGCTCATAAAAAAACAGAACATTCTTGTAGAATTCCAGCCTCGTATCTTTTGTAGTTCCCGAAATCGTTCTTGCAAAAAAGAATTTGCATATTTTTTTTGGCATCAGTATGTGAGACCCTGCAGTACATGAACAGCAGATTTGATCGTCGTCGGTTGCTGAGATGAAAGAGAGTGACAAAAATGCGAACAAATATACACAGTTAATTCCCTGCCAATGTTTTTTGCATTTGCATAAATTTGTAGAAACGCATAAGTGGCGGCATGCATCGGAGTAGCTGGTGTGACCATGCGTTTTATGCATCGACTAAACCCCGGAAAATGTACAGGACATTCCAGCCCGTTGGGAAGCTGTAGTTGCGGGACGTTTTAGCTTTGAAAAAAAAATTTACCAAACAATTTTTGTAGAAACTGGGAAGGCAGCAAAAAGTAGGGAACGGGAAAAGAAGAAAATTGGCACTATTCAAAGTGGTAATGATCATGGCGATAACGGGCACGGTTTTAATGGTGATGGTAGTGGTGATAGTGCAAGCGATTATCATCAGCGAGCAGGAGCACCAACATCAACAACAATAAAACGCTATATCATAGGCTAGTTTTTCCAGTTTGCCAAATCAAACTATCAGCGACCATCCTACCTCTCGTAGCTCCTGTGCCCAGCCTACGCGTTGCCGTATTGGGTCCTGTTGCTGGTTGTGTCAGAAAAGAGGAGATGGAATTTTATTTTTCGATTGACTTTTCCATCCATCGTCTCGTTTGCGTGCTTTACCTTACCTGGAGTCTGATGGGACGTGGCGCGTAGTTTCCTTCCCTAAAATCTTCGATACCAATAGACTTCTGGACTGCGGTGACGTTCATATGTCTTTCATGCGTTTTTTGCTGCAACAGTTGCACAAAATGCATATTGTTGAGACAGTGTTTGTGTGTGTGTGTGTGTGTATTTGTACGCGTGTATGTTTTGCATGCGTATGTGTTTTGCATGCGCATGTGTTTGTATGTGTGTGTGTTTGTATGTTTGTATGTATGCGTGTGTTTGTGTGTGTATTATTTGTTTGTATGTGTGCGTGTGTTTATATGTGTGTGTTACTTGAGTGCATTTTATCTGGGAATTTCAAATCAGAAACCAGAGAAGCTAGGGAT